GTTTCTCTGTAGTCAAGACCAGGCACAAAATGCCTTGAACACAGTTTTGAGGAGTTTACAATCAGTTGCACATTCACCCCATTGTTCTCAACGAATAATCTCCACAAACGTCTAAATTCATCGTTCGCTGGAAACCTAATGTAAACAACATACTATTAACATACGGCTAGAACAATAATAAAGTGACGTTATATCATATATATATCATGCGTGTATGACAATACAATTACCTGTGCAAAGAAACTCCTTCAAAACCATCGACGTTCCCACAAATGATACAAATTCTGACCATAGTGATGGGCCTATAAAGCGCACATAGCATACATTGTAAATATGTAACACGAAATGAATGAACATAAACATATCTAACGATGTTGTTGATTTGATTAGTAGTAATATAAAACATGTTTAATATGATCATATTGGACTTGTAAAAATGTAAAATAATTAATTTAAATTAAATTAAACTAAAATAAAAATAATGCATGTATACGATGCATTGTAAATTATATTTATTACTAGCACCGGTGAAACTCGCTGTAAGTGAATACCCTAGGTCGGTGAAACTCGCTGTAAGTGAATACCCTAGGTTGGTGAAACTCGCTGTATGTGAATACCCTAGGTCGGTAAAACTTGCTGTATGTGAGTACCCTAGGTCGGTAAAACTCGCTGTATGTGAGTACCCTAGGTAGCTGAATATCGTTTGAAGTGAATTTCCTAGGTCGGAGACAGGACTTAAGAATACAGCAGTTAGAAAAGTCTAGTAGGCAAAATCAGTGATAACGACGAATGAGATGTTGGTACCTCTGATTTGGTGGCTTTACACTTTGGCGGTGTCGTTTTAAACGCGTAAATAAGAAGTCTAATTCGAGCGTCTAGTGGTCGGTCATTTCATTAAATTCACAGGTGTAATACACCTTGTCCCGTAGCTTGCCCTGTGCTTTTGTGTTAGAAAATAAATAAATACATTCCAAAATGGTAATTAAATGTCTAGCTATCAGTCATTACCCAGTGCTTGTCGTTACTCGACTGGGCAATCCGCGTAGCTTGCCCTGTGCTTTTGTGCATGGAAAATAAATAAATATACACTCCGAAAGGTTGATTAAGTGTCTAGTTATCAGTCATCGTCCAGTGAATATCGATTCCTGACAGGGCAATCCGCCTGCGGCGGATTGTCATACCTCCTGACGTCGAAGGCGTTGTGCTGTTTAGTACGCAAAAAAGTTTAAGTCGAATCGAGCGCTCGATTTCTCAAGCGATCACTAATGAAAATCCAGTTGAACGCGTTTAAACCTCCCAGGTAGGCAATCCGACTGCGTCGGATCGCGGACGATGTGGGCGTAAAGGAGAGATTTTAAACGTATTATGGAAAACGCATGTCAAACGTTAGGGAGTTGAAGATCAAAAAACTATATAAATTTAATCATTTTTTTGATAACAGAAATTACAATTAATTAACACAAAATTTAAAAATTAAAAAAAAAAAATGCAAAAAATCCGAATATTTGGTCAGTTATCGTACAGCCCGGATTTTCGCCGGAACGTGTATCGAACCTGCCTACCTAACGTCGGAGAACTTCGTCCCGTAGCTCGTTACGAAACCGGCAATCGAGTGTCTGGGTATCAGTCATCGTCCAGTGAATACCGATTACTGACAGGGCAATCCGCCTGCGGCGGATTGTCATACCTCCTGACGTCGAAGGCGTTGTGCTGTTCAGTACACAAAAAAGTTTAAGTGGAATCGAGCGCTCGATTTTTCAAGCGATCACCATTGAAAATCCAGTTAAACGCGTTTAAACCTTCCAGGTAGGCAATCCGACTGCGTCGGATCGCGGACGATGTGGACGTAGAGGAGAGATGTTAAACGTATTATGGAAAACGCATGTCAAACGTTAGCGAGTTGAAGATCAAAATACTATACATAATTAATATTTTTTTTCATATTTTATAGATGGTTAGATATCGAAAAGAAATATTATGCGCTTTCTGTGATGACAAAATATTTAAAAATCAAAAAAAAAAAAAAAATTGCTACTGTTTTTCCCCTGTATCTTTCAAATGTAAGCAACTGAAAGGCTAAACATATAAAATAGTGAATTCACCGTCAAAACCGAGTGAAACAACTGTATCGTCATCAATAGAATGTTCTCAGGCTATAATATAATTTGCATATCACATAATATGTACATCTGAATTGTGCAGACTGTTAGGAATAACTATAATTGGTTATTACTTATTATTTTTAATTAAGTATATATAATATAATAATCTATCTTGAATCTATTTTAAAAATGAATAATTGAATACTATTGTGTGATTTAATGTCCGTGTAAAGTATATTGTAATATAATATATTTTGACATCATCAATCGAGCAATATAAAATTAAACGTGTGAGATCAAAAATCATTTTTAAAATTTGAAAATTCGATGTCCCGCACTCGTAATGTGTGCATCTAATTTATTTGATAATTACTATTTTATTAAAAATCAAACTAAATACTTAACCGTTTTTGCTGTGAAAAGTGTTAAAAAAACAAGAAATTCAAGTGCTTTTTTTAATAAATTAAATCACTACCCGTCTGGGGCCAAAAACCCTAAGACAAGACTTTATGTAAGTATTTTAATTATTCAAACCCATATAACGTATAATAAACCGTTTCCCAGCCGCGTATTCGTCACTTACGTAACAACACCTAATTAAAAATGAACTCTAAACCTAAGACTATCTCCCCAATTAAAATTATCAACCAAAACACCGTACAAAAGATAAAGAATAACAGTCAATTAAGCGAGTCCGATACGAACAATGTTTTCAATTATGAATGGACTGAGGTCGTCATCTCTCCCAAATCTCACAAACGTTTAAATTCTGATAAACAAAGTCAGTTATCAAAAACAATTAAAACCACGGCTAATACGCAATTTTCCTCTCATAATAAATTCAGTGTCCTATCACAAAATGATGACACGGATATGGAAATTAATGAAGCAAACGAAGTCGTCCCCAAATTACCTCCACCAATATTTATCAAAACAAAAATTCAAAATTATCAAAAATTTTGCGAGAAATTAAAAAATATTATAGAACCGACCAACGATTTTACCTGCAAAAGCTCTACCGATGCAATTAAAATAAACACTACCTCTTCTAATGCATACAGATCCATAATTAAATATCTAAAAGATGCAAATGCTGAATTCTTTACATATCAATTAAAAGAAAACAAACCATACCGTATTGTCATTAGAAATTTACATCCTACCACTTCGCCCGATTACATAAAAGAAGAACTCGAAAAAGAAGGATTCCAAGCGAGAAACGTCACAAACGCTCTGCATAGAGTCTCAAAACTAAAATTACCACTATTTTTTGTAGACCTAGAACCAGCGCTTCACAACAAAAACATATTTGAGCTCCAAACTTTATGCTACACCAAAGTCAAAATCGAAGCACCTCGTATTAATAAACTAACACCACAATGCTTAAATTGCCAAAACTACGGCCACACCAGAACTTACTGTAACAACCACCCGAGATGTGTCCGTTGTGGTGAAAACCACAGAACTGACGCATGCACCAAAAGTCGAGACCTCCCTGCCAAATGTGCGTTATGTAACGGAGATCACCCAGCAAATTATCGCGGATGTCTTGTATTCAAAAACCTGCAGCAACTTCGAAAAAAACAATCATCAAGCAAAAGCAACACTGACAAAACTGAAGAAAACACAAATCGCAAAAACCCCACCTTGTACAACTCATCTCTCAACAGTACCTCACACCCAAATAATTCAAATAATAGCCAAACCTACTCCCAGGCCACCCTACAAAATAAAAATCCTATACACACAAATAACGAACACCAAAACCAACAAAACGTAAACATGACCACCCAATTGACCTCCTTTTTAAATGAATTCAAATCCCTCATCAACCCACTTATCTCACTTCTAACAACAGTCATCGACAAAGTATTAATAAAAAATGTCAACTGAAAATAATCAAACTCCTCCTTTATCAATATTACTTTGGAACGCAAATGGATTAATCCACAATAAAAATGAACTACAACACTTACTCTACGACAAAAAAATAAATATCGCCCTAATTACAGAAACACACCTAACACCAACGAAACATTTCAACATACCAGGCTATACAACACACCGAACAGATCACCCCGATGGTACTGCACACGCTGGTACTGCGATCTTAACATCCACTACAATATTACACTACGCTTTACCGACATATCAAAAGACCTATATACAAGCTACAAATATCCAAATAGTACTTAACCATATCCCCATTACAATATCATCAGTCTACTGCCCTCCTAGTCAAAAAATAACACCACCTCGACTTCAAACATTCCTAAGAACACTTAATAATTCATTCATTATTGGCGGTGACTTTAATGCAAAGCATACCGCATTTGGATGTAGATCAACTAACCCTAGAGGCCAAACTTTTTACAATGCAATTTTAAATAATCACCTATCCTTCATTTCGCCTAGTGCCCCAACCTACTGGCCATCCCACACAAACCGTCACCCCGACATACTAGATTTTTTCATAACCTCGCTACCAAACCACTTAAATAATAATATAAGAAACCTTGATGAACTGTCCAGTGACCACTCCCCAGTTCTACTCCACTTAGGTGGTAAACCAGAAAATGTAAACAACACTCTACACTCTAGACAAATTAATTTCAATTTATTCCAAAAAAAATTAGACGAATACATTTCATTAAATACCCGACTAAAAACTCGCGATGACATAGACAGCGCTTCACAATTCCTCATTACAACTATTCAAGAAGCAATAACAGTCTCAACCTTTACACCATCAAATACGAATATACCAATAAAACCACACAATTATACTTATTTACCACAGAATTTAAAAGATTTAATTAAAAAAAAACGCCAAGCTAGAAAAATTTGGCACCAAACCCACTACCCGGAGCACAAACATGAATTCAACAAATTAACAAATAAACTGAAAAAAGATCTGCAAACCTTCAAAACCAATCAATACCACTCATTTTTATCATCACTTACGCCAGTTAATGGTTCCTTATGGAAATCAATAAAAAATAAAACCAAAAGAAAAGACGTAGTCCCCCCCCCCTTAACAAATCCTAACAACACTCTAGCCATAACCGACAGTGAAAAAGCAAATTTATTCGGCAATCACCTATCTGAAATTTTCCAACCCCACTCGGACACAAATTACAATATAACAACACACATAGAAAATGTCCAAACTTGTCTTAACAGTCCACTACCTATGTCACTACCAGCTAAACCAATCACACCACAAGAAATAAAATATTATATTACTAAACTACACAACAATAAATCCCCAGGATATGATCTAATTAACAACAAAATACTCAAA